ACAATAATATATTACAACGGCTGTTGCCACTTCTACTTGCGTCATATTCTGGAGATTTAAAGCAGCTGGTCTACATGCACAAATACAAGATGGTTCTTTATTCTCTTTCTTCTGTTTCAAACGCCAGGCAGATCAAGATAATTTAAGCGAAGCACGTACACGTAAGGGTTAGATCTATAGATTTTTGTTGTTGTTTCTGAAAGATCCCTTGCAGCTGGCAATGAAGACTGACATCGTCACTATGAGTATTTGGCCCATATTAAAAGCCAATTGACGATTGGCAAAGGCACTGTTCTTACAGTAGGCTAGTAATAAACAGCGATAGAATCATTACATTATATGGCTTAGGCTTAATAGGTTAAATTTAGCACAGAATGATGTAGATCTAATCAAAGATATCAAACAAAAGAAACACAGATGTTCGTTAAAAAAGCTCCGCTGCTGATGCCCTATTATTAGAACTTTATAGCTGTCAGTTGCCACACATGTTATTATTTCTCACGTTGGTAAGGGGCTCCACAAGGCTATTATTTTGCACGTTTATATGGGGCTCTACACACCAGGGTTTCGCCCCCGGGTCTTGCTCCGAGCCTCCAAAACTCGCCGAAAATCGCTGCGTTTGTGGCTGAAATTTCATGAGGTCGGGCACAGATGCAGAAATCTAGGCAGCTCCAAATATTTATTTCCCATCGGTCCGGGATAGAGTGGGGTGGGGGAGTTAAAACAAAACAACCCCAAAATTCTTTGTTTAAAGAAAAAAAAAAGAATACGTATTTGATTTCAGATTTAGTATCATTGTCAAATTCATCATGGATTTAATACAAAACACAATGCCCATTTGAGGTTAAATAAAAATAATTCTGCGTGAAAAAAAAGCGCTGCATCTGTGCCGACTGTGTAAATTCCCCAGCAGCCCTTATAGCATTCTGAAACAATCTTAACTTCCTGGGAAGCAAACAGTGCAAACTGACTTTTATAGGTGCTAAAACACCAACATATCGCTACTTCAAAATTACAAAGTTCTATCTGCAAAGCACCTAGTTTTGAGAAAATCTGCAATAGCACCTTGTTTTGAGAAATTTGACGTCAAAGACAAGTAAAAATGCGCCATGAGCAAAATACATGAATTATGCTCTGACCTTTATAGTGTGTTTTACGTCCCCGTCGACACAGTTTAGATCATGTAGAAGGCTAGAGAATGTCGGTGTTTTTTCAAACTGGGGTTGGGCGAGAGCTGTGGTTCCATTGCGAGAAATCTAGTTGTGTGTCTAAAAAGATTGGTGTTTCATCAGAAAGTGAGGCCCACCACAAACGTCGACATAAACAATAACACTTCTTAGTCAATTGAGTCTCATCTTCCAGACCGTATACAAAAGGGTAAGGGGAAAATATTTGAAATGGGTCACATAAGTATAACTACGAACCGTGTGCAAAGAGGTTTGGCAAAAATTAATACATGAAAATTAATGGTATTTTACCGGTTTTAACTTCACATAAGAAAAAGGGGTCGAGGGGATTTCTGCAGAACAAGGGTTTACAGCCTCCCCCTCTTCCCGCCCCC